GAGTATAGGAGAACCCTAAAAGAACCATAAAACATGTTAATATGGAAGCAGTTACTTGATTGGTGGGATATTTTCGAACCTTTGTTTTCAAGCATTTGTTAGACTGGTTGAGAATGAACTAGTTCTCACACCAACTGCATTTAGGTACCTACGTATATCTTTAGGCAAGGGAGACAACTGTGGCGATAACACTTTGCATGGAGTCCCGATTTCTTATGATACAGAGGAGGTAAACGACAGGGATATAAACCGCAAACAGGCCAGAAATCTCACAGACGAGAATAGACGCATTAGGGAGTGACTACAGCTTGACTGTCAGTCCATACAGAGCAAGGCCGGATTACCTATTTAGTTACCAACCGTCCGGGTGACGACTGCCAGTGCTTCCTGACAGTCAAACGCCTCTCCCATAAAAGTGGCAGGCTGGAGTCTACCTAACCGAAAATTTAATGGTGCGGTAAGTGGTAGTAGTGAGTACGCTGGTGAAAATATAATCGTCTGAACAAAAACATTAAAAAGTGTCAACAATTCCTTGTTAACCTGCCCAACGAAATACGTTAAAACGGCCATGTCTACAAGGATACAAGACCGACTAAGAGCCAAGCAACGAGGTTCTAAACTCGGACACGTGTATGCTCTCAGAGGACGATTCCAGTCTTACCCTTCTGAACCTACGAACAGAGACGTTTCGAGATTGGTCTAGAATGAGATCATTAGTGGCGTCGGTGTGATTAAATGTCAGTGAGGTCAATAGTCACTGGTGTGGGGGGGGACAGCCTCATTACAACCTGGCAGTCAGGTTTTCCTGCCAGCAGGGTCTAGGAGGGGCACAACTAGGTTGCTATCAACAGGCACATTGACCGTCCTCCAGCTTACACGACTACGCATCACCCTGTGACAGCTCGACCGTAGGTCACCCCATCGGAACTTTCTTTAGTGGTTGGCAGTATTCCTGAGCGATCGAAAAGTTAGCTTCCACAAACGGGTCCAAGAGATCAAGCAAGAAAGATGCAGGAAGATCCATGTCGCAGGACTGGGGGATGCATTACTCTGCCGGAAAGAGATGACATCGAGGGCTACCAGTATCTCACCTGGTAGGCGCTACAATAGCGTGACTCCTACCCTAATGGGTACTGATCAGAGATCAAAATAAGCTTTAAAGTATGTCTTCTATATCGCAAAAATCAAATCCGAATTCACTTGCTCCTGTGGAGCGGGATACATTAGCTGTACAACGAGGCGCCTGGAAAAGAGAGTACGCGAACACATACCGACCTGGCTAGGCTGGGGTAAAAAGAAATCGATTTCGATTTCTCGCACATCTTGTCGATACGAATCACCGAGTCGATGCCAAAGAAGTCTTTCAGGTTGTCTACTGGACACCAGCAAGCTTCTCCAGAGGTCCACGACAACGGGTGCTAGCTACAGCCGAGGCAGTGGCTATACGGCTAGCCAATCCAATGCTATGTTGTCAGAAGACGTTGACACAGGTACTCTGTCTTCCGTGGCCAACACCGATCCCAGATGATGATTGCACGTCGCCCCAACTTCCTGATGGCAGTGGTGTGTGCTTAACGTACCCGACTTACAAGCATCACTCACAGCCTACGACGTCCCTCCCCCTCGTCCCCTTGACCCAATGACCATAACACGCCGATTACGCCATAACACGCCGACCATGCCATAACACGCCTCGCCACGCGGGTGGCGTGGGAACGATGAGTGTTGATAGCCCCTGAATCACTTATAAACCCTGTAACTTCGCATATTTTCAACTTCTATGTAACTTTTTTGGTCTGATGAGGAGTTACCGAAGACACTTGTTTGTCAAAATGACTTTTCAATAATAACAATTAAACAGCAAATGCTTCTTTAATATCGCGTAGGATTGCTACGGAGAGGTTTTCATCTCCTGCCAGAAGACGCCAACAATATTCGTCTAAGTAACCCTGAAGTAAATGCTGTGGAATTCAAGCTTGCTGTCTAAACAAGTCCTCTGCATTTGCTAGGTGTGCGCGCCTGTATTCAGCTATACGCAATTTTCCTGATGATTGACGATTTTGTGATCGTAATCGGCCCGATTAAGTTGCTGGTAAGCTGGCCATTCGTCAGAATGTATTGCTGGGCCTGCTTCTACTCCGCGATCTACTTAAACACGTATAGTAGTCATTGCTTGTAGACCGTAGATTCTTGGGGACCTTCGCTATACCGCTAGCCCCTGACATAATCCAGAGACCCATGAACCATCGTCCTGATAATTCTGCACTGGGCCGACATTGTTTTCTTCGGCAGATGCATCTCCATCTAAAATAAGGCCATGACTGTACTTACGGCGTCCTGTAAATCCGGCCTGCTCGACCTGTATTGGGTTTCCCGATGTTCCATTCACCTCTCCACTCCTACAAACAAATACTCTTTCGGAGCTGACTTCCGGGCAGTAATTGGACCAGTCAACCACAGTATTTAGGGATCTACTAGTAAGCTTTGCCACTTCTTGCAACGATATCCCGCCGTTGCTCCAAAGATGAAAAAAGCTCCAAAATCTCACAAAGTTCCGAATTACAATGGAGCGGAAAAATTCGTTTCCCTTTCTTACTGATCGAACAGACTGGCAACACATTCTGTTCATGGGCCTTCTTGCTCATGAACTTCACTTGCGCGGCAAGATTTTTCCCCTACTAAGAGACCATGCCGGAGGAGATATCGTGACGCCGCTTCTCCACTGTGTACCGCTTCCGCATAACGCTCTGATTGCTACGCCGAAGTGTGAACAAAAAAAATAGAGGTAGGGATCCAGCTACAGCAGTACCACTCGGCTTCATAGCGATCGTTCAAGTGCCAGTGGTCAGAAAGACACGCTGCCGGGGTCAGTTCTGCCTCTGATGAGTATGGAAAGGTGTGCACCCATGGGACAAAAAAATATGACGGCAAACTCACCCTCCAACGAGCATCAACCGCCAGACGATGGTGGGGACCGGAGGCTCAGGCGTTGGCAGCGGAGAGGAGGACATAGTTTCTGTACCGGTTCCCGACGACGGTCCTTTGGTAGTCCCGCTGAGCGAGGGTGCACGGGCATCCAATGCTGACACTTTATGAAGGTCAAGTGGAAAACTTCGATCAGTGGAAAGATCTGCACTGTCCTTAAAAGCTAACACCAGCGCAGTTCAAAACGTTTGCGGTTATGGCTCTAAATACGGAGAACAGTAATGGTTTGAAACAAGACGAAAGGTTTCGATGTAAAACAACTAAAACATAGGCGGCAGGCTTACAAAGTTCGTCAAATGTAAGAAGTTGGACATCTGCCAACCCCGTTTGTTAATAATTGATGCTGACACAGTCTCATACCTTGAAATGGTTGCTTAAAAGGAAAGGTAAAGGACTAGTGGTGAAAGGAAATGGAGGGCCCAGAGTTTCTTGAGTCCATGCACTCACATGAATTGTGCACCAATCACCGAAATGTTAGGCGCCGCGCGTATATATGTATATATGAGACATGCATCTATCGGCATATTGTTTTAGATGACACATACAAATTTCTCAAGGACAAATGGAAGCAAGCGCGGCCAATGACGAGGGGATGACGGAAAACCATTGACGCGGATTAGCGCAGGCTTCGGCCAACAATAGAATCACTTGTTCGACACGGTTAAGTAGGTAACTGCATTTGTACATAGCCCAAAAGTCTGGCGACGAGCTGGGGAACCAGACATATATACATATATATACGTCCTCCTATGCGTCTTTGTGACAAAGTATTGCGAAACCCATCACTTGTTGTTTAGTCCAGACTTTTTCCTACATCCAAAAAATAAATGCAATAACTAAGTCAGCGACTACTGTTATTTCTGACGGCTAAATATAGCTGAATAATTGGTGAGAGAAAATGTCACGCAGTATAAACGGGAGTCCTTATTTGCGGTTATTCCTCCAGTTGTAAAAACGCGTGCGTTTAATGTCCATTCTGCCCTAGTTTAATAGAAAAAAGTACTTCCCAGAGTTCCGCTTACCGTGCATTCTCATGTGTTTATTTTGATGGCCGGCTTTATACTTACAACGGAAATGCGCTGGCGATAGAGCAGCTTGATAAGGTTTTGTACTGAAAACATTGCGACGACGGCGATAGAGTTCAGGAAGTCAGAATAGCAAAAGCAGAAGAATGAAAACCTTTCTCGCGGTTTGGAATCTTTCAATCTCCGCTAGTCTCAGTATGGGCTTGTCTAGGTAAAACTTGTCTATATTTAGACAGCCTTGCTCAAATCTGGCAATCATGCAATAATCTGTTTGCCTACGTGGCGCTGTAGATTCGGTGAGTCTAAATAAAACTTAATTTTGCAGGTTAGAGTTCGTGAACACACGGGAGTCGATAAGTAGGCAGGTAACATTTGAAAGTAGAGAACGGTGATCAAGGTCAGCAGATACGAGTGATCTGCTGTTTTCGCTGATGATGGGTTCGAGCAGGAATCCGAAACGTCAGGCTAATAAAGTTCTTGTCCCAGCAACCGTGTCGCCTTTTTCAAGACTACTTCCTGGGACTCGTCTCTTCGCTTCTATTGGCACTGTATTTGGGCGCGATGCGCTCCGATCGGCCCCGCCATAGGAAACCTTCGCCATTCGGGAGGCCTCTACGTATTCGCAGATCCGGTTTATGCACATGTGTCTCGACAATAATGTGTTACCGAAGTGTGTTTCATACAAGCCCCCGGTTAACACGGATTTGGTGAGACGAACAGTATTTCTGCACGGCAGAAAGATGATCCGAGCCCTCCTCCAAGATTGCCACGCGAGACTTTGCAAGTACCGTCAAAGGATTGACCAAGAAAAGACCAGATGCTGCGAGTTCATGGGCGATATCGATACGAATCTGCTCCTGCGGAGGGTGACTTAACAAGCCCACGAACGCGGCACTGGAGAACAAATTCCGAAGGCTGCCCAATCCAACGTCGCCCAGAAACGACAAACTGGTGCACAACCTGTCGTCAAAGGAGCTGACGAAGGATCAGATGCAGGTTTTACGGCGCGAAGCTTCATCTAACACGACTGACGCCAAACCTGTTAACATGATTGCAGCAGTGGAATCAATCCTTTGTCAGACGGAGGCAACGGAGGAGAGTAAGAGCCTCATCCGACACCAAGTGTCGTCTCTCCTGATGGCCCACAGGCCGCGGGAAGTGCTTTCCAAGCTCGAGCGTGATGCGCTTAGAGAACTCAAGGTCGACAAAGACCTGGTCATCGTTCCAGCGGACAAGGGGCGCTCCACGGTTGTGCTGGACATGACAGACTACCTTCAAAAAGCCAAAGGTTTACTGGAGGACCGACAGTTCTATGTCCCATGTGCAACGAACCCTTTAAAGGCGCTGACACGCGAAATTAATGCTACGTTGTTGGCCTTGGAGAACTCAGGTGCAATAACACCGAACGAAAGGCGCATGGCGAGCCCCCAAGATACGACTTTGGCCCGATTCTATGGCCTCCGTAAGGCGCACAGGGGCGGCGCTCCTCTCCGACCCATCGTGTCGTTCAAAGGGACGCCGACGTACGGACTGGCTAAGTGGCTGTTCCGGCGTCTCAAGTTCCTGACCACTGAGTCAGACACCACAGCACAGCAGATAAAAGTTCTTCTTTTCATCAAATCATTACTGCAGCCGAAGGACTCTGACGCACGCACTCATTAGGACAGAGAGTCGAGATAACGGTACAAGAGCTCGCAGAGGAGTGTAGCCGGATCATGAATATCAGAAACGACACTAGGCTAATTGGCGACGTAAGCAGTCGGTTTGTGTGTGCATGATATAAATGCGCATATCTGTGCTTTCTCACGCATTTTGTGTCAGATTGTCCATATCGGACTAGAAGGTGCCCTATATTCTCGGGTCGACCACGAGGCGATACTCTGCGCGCCAAGCAACCCAGATGTAATGCGATCGTCCAGCATGATTCACATGTGCTCAGTTTCGAACACAGAAAATATCTGACGATCGGCATTAACGGAGAACCTGCCACATTACAGGTCGACTTCACGATAATCAGCAAGAGCACGTGGGGGGTAGGGGCTTTGCATCATCTGAACCGAGACCAACTGCCTTCCGTGCATGGGCGAGGTGTGTCTTTCGGACCTTCACGTCTCAAAACGATCGGCTTGGCAACAAAACTATCTCCCAGATTAACCTCTAGAGTCGGCTGTTCCATGAGGTAATGCTGCCCTGTAAAACTCACAGAAGATCTGGAGAAGGAGTATGCCGAACCGATGGGAATGTCGGTCGGAACGTGCACAAAATGAAAGGGTGAAAGTGAGGGTGAAAATGGGGAAGAAGTCAGCGTTCAGGCAGATTCGGTACGTCCCGCCCGCAGTACAAACAGTGGCTGAGGAGAAAGTGGAACGACTACAGTAGAATGGCGTTATTTACCTCACACACTGTGACGATAAAGAAACTTAACGGTGCAAACGATCCCACCGGGCTGAGCGACGCGTCAAAAGACTATCATTACCCGCTGCTGACGGCGCACACCACGTTTTCGCAGAAGGCATATTCCAGAAACTTATAAGCATCATGCTTACAAATGTCCCTCATATTTTTGCCTACTTGGATGACACTTTGATCGCTGGTCGTACGAACAAGGAATTGATGGAAAATTTCATTACTGGTAAGCCAGGCCAGCATTCGAAATCGTGGAGGTACCGAGGTGTGTAAGGGAATTACAATCGTTTGTGGGACTAGTCAGTTACTACGCGCCGCTTATTGCTGAGCTCCACAGTTTAAGGCCCCTGTTAAACCGACTACCTTGCAAAAATGCGAAATTTGACTGGTCTGCAAACTGTCCGGAAAAGTTCGAAGGCGAAGATCAGCGCGTCAGCTGTACTTTTACATTTCTAAGGGGATACAGAAACAATTTTCCTGGCGGATGCATCCGATTATGGGCTAGGGGGCGTTCTCATTCAGAAGGGTTCAGACAGTAACATCCTGCCCTTGATGCATGCCGTACGGTCATTTACAAAAGCAGAGCGAGACTGCAGCCAGATTGAAAAAGAAGCCATGGGAGTAAATATATTCCATCAGTTCGTTTAAGGAAGACATTACAACCTCACACGTATCACCAAACCCCAAAGTTTCCGCTGAGCTCAAATCGCGTCTTGCAGCAGTACGCGGCCAAGAGGATAAACGATGAAGTACTGAATTATGACCTGAGTTATGACTTCACCGGAGCTCCGGACGCGCCTGAGCGCAGACGACGAAAATCAGGCATGCTGGCACAAGATGTTGAGTTAAGAGGTATCACCCGATATCACAGCAGAACATATCAGAGCCACCACTCCAGCAGACCCGTAAAAACTGTTGGTTCCGTGAAGACTAAGCATAAGGCCCTTCAGGAACAGAAAGGAGCAGTTGTACATCATGGAAGATAGCAGCGTGGTGATTCCAGCCAAATATCAGTAGCATGATTTGCCGGAGTTTCATGCCGGACATCTGGGTGTGACCCGCATGAAACAGATGGATCGGAGGTATGTATATTGGCCGTGAATTGATAACGACGTGGTGCCTTTCGTTCGAAGCTGCGGCCAGTGTGGACGCGAGGCTGAGGATCCACCAAAAGCACCGTTCGTGCCATGACGGAGGTGATGAGATCGTGGATTAGCGACCATTTGGTCTTTGTCAGATTGTTGCTCAACTGAATGTCTCTAATATTTGGCGACGCATAGTCAGATCGGCTGGAGGTTTTCGACATCGTGGCAGTTATCGTTAATAGAAGAGCACGGAAAACGAGAGAACTCATCTCAAGATATGACATCTCGCGGAGATTTTGACGGATAACGGCACACTGTTTACATCATAACCGTTCCAGAAATTGTACCAGAAGTGGGAATCTAACATGTGACGTCGCCACCAGGCAGAGCGTTTCGTTGATACTTTCAAGAGGGCAATAAAAAAGATGTGGAATACAGGCGTCAAGATGGACAATCTCAACAAATTTCTTCTTGGCTATATAACAGCCTCAAAAAGTGATCTCAGTGGCCAGACGCCAGTCGAGCGTTTTTTGGGCCCGCGGCCGGACTTACGACTGCAGTAACCACAAGGAGAAGTCCGAGTCTCTCAACCGGCAAAATACTACTTTCGGGAAAGTGACTAGGTGTGTGGGCATAATAAGGAAATCCAAAGGCGTTGTGGAGACAGCAACTGGAAGAAATCAGGCAACATCGACGGCCAAGTAGCATTCGACATATTCTGAGGTTCCGACCCACAAGGTAAACACTCAAAAAACACCAACTACTGTCCGTAGAAACCCCAGAAGAACGTAGTCGCCAAAGGAAATGGCCTTGGGTCCGAGGAAGAAGAGGTACTAAGCTCAACTTTCAAAAGCGAGGAACGTTGTGGAGAGCGGAAGCGGTGTAAAGTCATGGCCTAAAGCGAAGGGAAGACGCGACCACGGATCGAACAGCACGCCAAGGCGGCAGCGAGATATAGGGGTGAAATTCGGCGACCCATTAGCGTGTACTGCATCATAGAAAACGTGTGGTGTCTTTGTTCACGTGTGCGGTCCAATCAATGGCCAGTTGAACATCCGCGACCTTTTCGCGAAAGGATTCTCGCGCGCGAAACGGCCAATCCACGACAGACACGCCGAAATGTTCCAGAACGCCTAGGCGTCTCTTTATGAGTTAAGAACCTATGTTCGCAGGTTGAGACTAAAGTGGTTGTTCCGGAAACACGCATTGCTTATCTTCCATCTACCCGTCGGGCTATAATATTAGTTGTCATCTTAAATGGTTGTTTCGGTTTCTCTTGTCTTTGTCGGCATCACTTTATCTACCTATACTACTAGTCGATATGCGATTGCCTGAATGAAGTAATCAAATTGGTAGGGCAAACACCCTGAGCCCCACAAATCCCGTATTCGTTTTTTCTTATCGATTTTTAGACGTCGCAGCGGGTTTCGGAAGGAGGGTGCAGACAACGACAGCGAAAAAGGAAAGTTGATGAGAAACTATGAGAGCTAAGAAAAACTGCGTCACAGTAATCGGCAGGCTATCAATCACAAAGGCTTTCCGTATTTTCGAAAAATCCGATAGGACGGGAACGAACGATTGACTCCATTGACACATCGTCAGTCAGGGAATGTCCATGTCGCAATGCTAAGTCGCCTTGCCATTCTCCGAACTTACTAGCGGCGCCGCAGAAATCGTGCCAGAAACACAGGCAACGGGATTACAGATCGTTCGTCGCAGGCTAATGTGGCTGGTGGGAATTTGCCATCTTCTGCATGGTTAAATTGGGAATTCTGAAAACGCAGATTCCACCTACCCCGACGCAGTCGGTGATATAAAAGCCTTCGACCAGTACGCCCGTACTTACGACAGTTAACTTCGAAAAGCTGAATTAATGGTCGATTAAAAATATAATCTGCCAGTCATCAGGTTTGAATGAAGCCTAGATCAATCGGATATCCTGCTAACACATGGCCCTGTCATAAGCGGGGGCCACGATTGGGCTGGGCGCAGCCTTGGCCCACCCACTTTTAAGCAGTTTTCCGGATTACTGAAGAAGGAACTTAACGTTTCAAGTAGTGCATTTAACCGCTAAATTAAACTATATCAAAACCAAAGTGCTAAAATTACCTCTAGTAAATTTTCCCTGTAGTCAATATGTCCCATCAAGGCGGCATCCATGGATGCACTGAATAAACTTCCTTGTTTACGTAGATCAACCGGAGGGCTCTTTTCTGCTGAAGGTTGCATGCCGGTTGTCGGTTATCATCCAGCTTAATGTCGTCTTAGTTCTTTTCATACTGTGGCACGTAATTTATTTCCTTTTTAAAGTTTTGGCATTACAGTCTGTGTTGAGCACTGCCATTTCTTAATCATTTGAACTCAGGTTAGGTGCAAATGGGTCAAATCGCCAAATTACAGCCCTCCCAGCGCATATTTATAAACTTAATCTATTTTTCTTTATTGTCCCTGGAGAGTAATTATAAGGCGTAGGTATTACGGATTGCCCCGGAGCACCGTTTATAACCGCATTCAACGTAAGAAGCGAGCCTATTATGCGTCAACAGAGGATCCTGATGCTGTCATTGCCTTCATGTCGTACGTGGTTGAGCAGTCACCGCAGTTGGAAATGCTCAAACTATTACCAGAAACCTCGACGGGTAGGCATCCCATGAGTATAAGTTGATGAAATGTGTAAAATATGCAGAGGCGACGGAAGGCCTGAAAGCGGCTCGAGGCAAATTTTTCCTCCAGGATTTCTGAGAGTTTTGCTTAATTCTCAAAGACCCAATGACACTACTACGGACGTCCGGAGATTGCCTTAGCAGACAGCTCGATGACGGGAGCTATGCCCATCATGTGGCTATAGCCACATGATCTGTCTTTCAGAAGACGCTTTGAAAACACTTACGACGTCGTAGGGCAAGTATATGTGACATTTGGACGGTCGAATAATAGGACGATTTAACTTGGAAGTCAGAAAAATGAAAGGTAATCTGGGTGGACCGAAGTTTATAAAAGCGTGGGATCTATCCGACTTAAGTCAAACAGTCAGTTAGGTGAGAAAAATGCGCATCAAAAGCGTCTAAATCAGTACAATGATAACGGTCCAGACAGAAACGATGCTCCAGCACGCAAAAACAAACATAATTGTCAGTTAAACTGGCGACTCACTACGACGGAGAAATGAGCTGGGCGCAGCACTTTTAACTTGGCCGCTTCCTACGGTCAAGGTTGAATCATCCCAAGGTTACGACAAACTCAAATCAAACATCTGAGTTACACTCACCTGCATACCCACAGACTCATTGACTGAAATTCTGTTTCTTTCAGCTAAATTTTATGTCCGAAAATCTCATGGCAGTGGGGTCAAAGCTTCAGCCCCCTGCAGGCTGAAATGTCTTTCAGCGGGAATGCGTGCCTCTATGCGCGTGTTCCGTTTATGTTCTCGAATTTACTTGTGCAAGCATTTTCTGTACTCACGTCTGAAAATGCCAAAATTTATGCAACAGTCGGATCCTAATTATTTCAACAAATGTCTTGATTTCGCCGTCATCTGTTGCTGGTAATTTATAAATTACTTTAATACGCTAGAATTCTCTTTATTCAAGCGCGGTAAAAATTTCAAAATTACTTCTCTATTACACTTTGCCGGACGTCGATTTGCCCGACCAACAAGAACCGCTACGAAGTATCAGGCCGCAGCTTTATGAAATAATTTAAAATGATCCTCATTTTTAGTACAACCTGAGACTGAACAGAACTCTATTTTTCTAGCCACCAGCATAATTAGCCTTTACCCTATTTCCCATACCTTTCTTTTCGTCACTGTTCGAATGGTGAGCCCTTCGTTCCCCACCTTAGACTAAAATCTTTTTGTATAGATAATTTTTTTGATCGTTGTTTCCGCTACAAATGTGCAGTGGAACTAATATAAGCCTAATGCCCCTCAGAAAGGGTCTAGACGTAAAGGAGTTACGTTTTTCGGGGATTCTCGCCAAGGTGTATGAGTTATCCGAAGCATTATAAAGTCCCAGTACCTTTTGGCCTTCCGCTAGGACCGACAAGTGTGTTAAATTCAGTAAAGCAATGAACCGTTTGACAGAAACCTGTACCGTCTGACAACCGGAGATGACAAACAGCGTTAGTGAAAACTTTATAACCCTTGCACTTAAACAAATTAAAACACAATTTTAGGGTTATAAACGAATATAGAGAACGGGAACAGAAAGAAAAATGGAGCAAATATCCGTCAAAAAGGGAAAGCAATTTCTGAAGAAAAAACTATACAAAACTACAGTTTTACAGATGAAACAATGGGACCTATATGTACAAATCGAATAGGCAATAAGTGCTCTTTGTAGACGATAGCCCATGATTAAACTCTGGCCGAAAATTTAATACCCTAAATTCTTGTGGTCATTCTTGGTTGGGGTTAAGAAAAAATATGCTTCCTTATATTCGGTATTTGATGTTCACAGCAAGTTAATGGAACTCATTTCTCATTTTAATGTGCTCACTCGCTCTTTGAACGGTCTAAGGGTTTCATCAAAGATTGTACATAAAGCTGTGTCGGATCGTCGAACTGCTTCCTACAATATCTACTCTGCTGGTTATGATATGTGCTTCTATCATATGGATTCCCGGTTATCTCTACCAAACCATTGTAGTTCGGGCATTTCAAATTGCTCCTATGACACGGAGTCATGCGAATGATATTGGTCCGCGATTCTGGTTTCCTTCGTACTTTCATGTCTCGGGCGGAGTATTGGAACCAAGGCCATGTGCAATATTCGATATGCGGCCAATGGTACACTGTATTTAACACGGGAGGATTATGTTCAGTATGGTAATGAAAAAGTCTATGTTCAGTGAACACGGACATGCCCTACGGATCACCGCATCTTCACCTCATAGATGAATCTTCGTCCGCAACTCTGCTGGAGACTACAAGGTAGGCAACCCCCAGGTAGGCCGAATATTGTTCTGTTCACTTTGCCTTTTACTTGCTTACGCTTGCTTGCCTGCCTTTGTCTGCTTGTCTGTGTTTGTCCTCGCTGTAAGCTGAACGCCGTTCTGTATAATTTTCCTTATCACCGTTTATATTTCAGCAACCAGTTAGCTAACAGTGGGACGGGAAACTCTATTTCTCGTTTCTCTACCATTCCTCATTCTTCCTCCCCCCCTCAAACAGTCCTACGGCGACAGCAACAGAGATTGTGTAGGTGGCCCAGGCTAACTCGGATTATTCTCTCACTAAACAAAATCGTGGGGTCCGACAGTCGGCTGCGATTTCTGAGCAGCCCTATTTAGGGAGAGCATTTCTCACCCTCGCGAAAGTGGAGCGGGGTTAGAAAGGGTACATTAAACAAATGCTGGGATCACGTCCTTTGCGCTCTGACCGTGGCGCGCAGACGCAAAACACACGATCGAAACAATCAAACAAGAATCTATATACTCTTACTCCCCTCTCCCTTCCCGCCGTCCCATCCAAAATTCTGCTTAGGTAATTCGCTCACACTGGCAACGTGAAATGTTCGTTTCGTTTTAGAATACCCGAGGAGCAACCGACCGGTGCGGAGAACGGCGCCAGCTGGTAGAGAACCGGCGCACAAAAAAGGTGGACATAGTCACACTCAGCGAGGACTGGTTCTCCATGCTACACCAACTAGGGGAAATGGACGCCGGTTACAAATTCCTCTGGAGTGGTTTTCCCAAGGCAGTGCGACGGGACGCGAGTGTCGTCTTTGTCACTCTAAACGACATCGTGAGACGACCGTCCTGTCTGCCACAGGGCATCAATCATCGCCTGATGACACTCCGCCCGACCTCCTGGGAGGCAGATTCGCCACCTTCGTCAGCATCTAAGCTCCCAGCTGGCCAGCCCTGATGCTGCAAGAAAGAAAGTCTACGAGGACCTGCACAACTTCCTGGAGACTGTGCCGAAGGCGGATAGGTTGATTGTTCTCGGTGACTTCAACGCCCGTGTCGGCACAGACCTTGCTGCCTGCAGAGGAGTGCTGGGTCCCCATGGTCTCCACGGCTCCAATGACAATGGCCTATTCCTCCTACGAACTTGCGCAGAACAAAGGCTCATTCTGACCAACACTTACTTCCGCCCTCCGACACGAGAAAATGTCACCTGGCTGCACCTTCGGTCGCGTCACTGATACCTGCTGGATTATGTCTTTCTTCCGGAGTCGAGACAGGCGAGACGTACCGGTGACAAGGGCGATCCTTGGTGCCAGCGGGTGGATCGACCATCGTCTCGTCACTTCCACTTTGCGGATCGCCTAAAGCCTCGCAGAGGACCTCAAGGTGAGCGACCCACAGGCAAATTGAGTATTGCTCTGTGGTCGTTGCTCGTTCATCATCTGCATTCCTTCAATTAGTTAGCCAAAGACTAGCCGACCTCCCAGTCGTCGCCGCGGCAGCCGACGAGAACGCCTCCATGGAGTACCGATGGTTCAACTATCGGACCGCCTTGGCTGTGCACGTCGAAAACGTCAGGACTGGTTCGCCGACAACGACGTCATCAAAAATGTGCTCATCGAGGAGAACAGCCCGCACAAAGCCTACGTTGATCGCTTTACCGATGACAACAAGGCGGCCTTCTACCGTGGTTGCCGTCTTATGCAAAAGGGGCCGCGAGAGATGCAGGACTCCTGGGCGGCTCGCAAGATCGAGGAGAACTGTGGCTGTCCGTACACTTAATAGCTTATATGTGTCACTGCCCTTCTGTCCGCATTACGCTCTTGATCAGTTCACTGTTTGCATCATTCGACGCTTGTCCTTACCCTCCTGTGGTCGTGATGCCAGTGAAGTCAACTTCTTCGCGATTGGTTACAGGTGCACACATAAGATCAGTGGGTGACAATAACAGCTGCACACACATGGGACGCCGCCTTTGCGGACGTGACTTTTAACGGAGAGAACAGAGACACACAAAACACAACAACTCCAGGCGAACGACAGCTTATGGTGACTGTTTGCAGAGCCGCTGTACGCTCTTCACCCTAGTAAAGTTTGTCTAACAAATCCGCCTTCCCCGACTTCTGATTTGGGAACCTTCTGGTTGTCGACTGTACCATCACGTGTCGACAGACCCATGGATACGCGGACCGCAACGAATGAAATAACTTCTTCGCCGAGATCAAGACTGTCTATGATTCCGCTGACAAAAGCACCGCCCCTTTTCTCAGCGCCAACCCCCTACTCAATGAGACGACTCGAACCCTACAGGGATGGGCCGAACACTTCAGAGGCGTCCTTAATCGTCCCTGCTCCATCTCCGACGCCGCCATCGCCCGTCTGCCTGAAGTGGAGACTAACGTCGATCTCGACCTTTTGCCTTTCCTCTACGAAACCTCCAGGCCGTGCAACATCTCTCCAGCAGGAAAGCGCATGGATCTGACGCGATTTATGCTGAGATCTACAAGTACGGTAGTCCCCAACTTGTGAAACACCCGACGCTGCTCTTTCAGGAGCCGTGGAGAAGTTGCAAAGGATTTCAAGGACGCCACAGTCGTCCATCTCTATAAGCGGAAAGGTAACCGCCAGCTCTACCACAACCATCGAGGCATCCCCCTGTTCAATATTGCTGGGAAAGTCTTCGCTTGCTTTCTCCCCAACCGTCTGAACTACGATCTGAAACAGGGGCTCCTGCCGGAAAGCCAGTGCGGTTTCCCCAGTCATCGCGTGACCGCCAGCATGATCCTTCCTGCCTGTCAACTGCAGGGGAAGTGTCAGGAGATGTGGGTCTACCTTTACTCCACCTTCGTGGATCTGACGAGAACCTTCACTACAGTTAAGCCCGAAGGAATAACCGCGTCTTTTGAATTCGGTTTGAAATTTTCGACCTCCGAGGGATTTAACTTTTTCGAGTCTCCTGAGTCCTGGACACCCTGACGGCCTCTCGGAATTTACAAGTCGATTATTCATAGCAATATCTCGATTCTCACAGAATTTCAACGGGGGTCTCGTTCGGAGAACCTATCTCCTTCCGACCACATCAGGACTTGTGAGGGATAACCTATCTTCGTCCAGTCGCCTCTCTGCAACAGCACGGAGCAATCCCCAAAACCTACGAAAGGCTGAGTCGTTTACCTCATATCCTCGATCTGGTTGAAAATTCGTGTCATACCTTTAAGAAAACCGTTTGAAACTTGTAAACTCGGTAGTGTTATTCAGAGAAATGCCCTCAAAACACGGTGTAAAATGTATACCCAAGGCGGGATTTGAACCCGGTCCATCGGCCGGACAGACAACCGACGTTACCGCTAGGCCAGTGACTCGCGCCAATGTCGTTAAAAATAATAGTACATATTCTATTACGCATGATATTAATGACTGTAGTGTTGGACGTTCTGCTGTCAGACCAATGCCCGTAAAACGCTCAAAAAGTCTAGTGACGTTGGGGGATGTCACATACGACGATGAAATCTGTACCACATGTTTTGGACTCATCCAAAAGTTTCCAAAAATGGAGGGGGAGTTAAAAGGTCTAAAAATGGAGGTAGAAAAGTTAAGGCAGCTTACTCACCACTTACGTGAAGAGAAGAAGCCGACGAATTCGGCAATTCAGAATCGGAAAAAAACATATGCAACCACGGCTTCTTTAGCCATATCAAACGCTGAAACTGACGAATGTTCGTCCAGGGAACTAGACACAGTTGAATGCCAGTCTCTCAGGCGAGAAAAAGACCAGCGAAAGCGAACTCAGATAACAAAGGAACATTCCAGAAAAACAACGCGCACCTCTATACGGTCCAAAAAACGAAGGCCGCCTACGTACACGCAGACCAGCGAAGGAGAACGACCAGGAGGCCTATGAAGGACCGCCAGAGGCTCCCAAATATGTTGAACAATAAAGATATCGGAACACCTTGTGGACCGAATATTCAGGAGGAGGTTTCAAAAGAAACTGAGGTAAACTTTTTCGACGAACACCTCGGAAACACAGAAGGATGGGTTATCAACAGGAAGATAAATGAATCGTACACGGATCTCAGTTTCGCTAGCCCAATAGCTAGTTCATCCGAAAACAGCGAAACTGGTAAACTGGAGAAGAACGCTCAGTCACTCAAAAGATGTGTTACAACAACGAGCACTAGGTTCAGTCGCCAGCAAAATGTAGTTATAAAAGGAGTACCCAAATCAACGGCAGCAGTTCCAAAGGAGAGAGTTAAGCATTACTTAGACTTTCTTCAAGTGTATGCGAAAACTTTGTTAAGAGACGATGAGTCACTAAGTGTTCTCAAAGCATTCCGAATAGGGAAGAGTCAGTCAGCATCCGGTTCCAATTCCCGGCCTCGACCCCTAAAAGTCATTTTGGAGACTGAAGCACAGGCCCAGCTTCTGTTACAGAGAAAATCATCTCTACGGGGTCAGCATTCTGAAGTTTTTTTTTTCAGCCGGATTACGAGCCAAAAGAGCGAATGAAAATGAGAGAGCTGATGACGGAGCTGGAAAAGCGGAGAAACAGTGGCGAAACACACCTAAAAATCAAGAATGGACAAATAATTCAGGTCCAAAGGACATTTCTCTGGCTGAAGGCCGTCATTCTGACAGCCTAACCGATGCAAAGGTGCCAACTCCTGAGGCTGCTCGAACCAGTGGCCGCTGTCTAGAAATCTATTACACTAACTGTCAGAGTCTTCTCAACAAGCTAGATGAACTCAGATTACTAGTCTCTGAACAGAAGCCACACATAATTGTCCTAACAGAGACATGGTTGACTGAGGAAATTAGTAGTAGCGAAGTCAGAATTGAAGGCTACCAACTGTTCCGTTGTGACAGATTTCACCGTAGAGGTGGAGGCACAGCTATTTATGTGTCAAATGAAATTGCGTGCTGTCAACGAGAAATATCCGACGGTGCGCCCCGAAATTTTGAAATAATTTCATGCAAGATATGCATCAAACGAGTACCGACACTGAACCTATGTGTTGTCTATCGGCCTCCCAGCTCGAATGAAATCGCCGATATGGAATTACTTAGTGTACTGGAGTTGTTATGTAAGCAGGAGAACTTACTTCTTCTGGGTGACTTCAACGCTTCAGGAATAGACTGGAACATTCCCCTAACAAACGCCCCGTCCACGTCATTTGATCACAAGCTACTACAGCTCTCCCTGAATGAATACCTCATTCAGCACATAAAATTCGGAACAAGAATGAGAGAAGGACAACGATCTAACTGCTTAGATCTCGTTTTCAGTCAAGAAGAAGGACTCATAAAGGAAGTGAATCCACAACCTCCACTCGGTTTAAGCGATCATATTGCTTTTACCTGCGTGTGCTCTCTCCTATCCAACCAACAACCAAAAATCAAGACGCGCAGAAATATTTGGAAGGGTGACTTTAACGCAATGAGACGCACTCTTTTGGAGGAAACCTGGTCGGTCAACACAGAAGATTCAGACGAATATTGGCAGTACTTTCGCGGGATTATAGAGCGTCTGGTTGATTCCCATTGCCCAATAAAAATGACAAGACCATGTGCGCGACCGCCGTGGGTCAATCCGACGACAAAAAGGACCATGAAGAAGAAACAGAGACTCTGGAAAAAGTATTTGCAACTTCGAGATCCAAGGTCACTCGCCGAATATAAGGATCAGCGCAATAAATGCCGCAAAGAAATACGGGTTGCTAGAAGTTCTTTCGAGCGTCGACTGATAGCAGAATCCATTGCATGTCCCAAGAAGTTTTACGGGTACATCCGCAGTAGGAGGAAACATAGGGACGAAATTGCGTGTCTAAAGGATAGCCTCGGAAACTTATTAGTTGAAGGTTCACAGAAAGTGCGATAACTGTCTCAGTTTTTTCAATCGGTTTTTACGGAAGAGTCCTTAGAAGACAATCAGCAGTTTGAAATGGACCGAGACAGCCGGGAGCTTCAAATGCGCCAAGATATTGCCGTCATTGAAACCGTCGCCTTTCCCGTGGAAGAAGTCAGACGAGTCCTCAGTCAAATAAAACCTGAGAAGTCTCCTGGACCCGACGGAATTCCCGGGCTGATACTTAAGGAGCTATCAACGGAGCTGTCAAAGCCTCTTTCGACTCTCTTTGGGCTGTCAATGAGAACAGGAAGGCTGCCCTCACAGTGGAATACAGCTAACCTCGTTCCATTGCACAAGGGAGGTAGCAGGATGACAGCAAGCAGCTTTCGACCTTTTAGCTTAACTTGCCTCCCTTGCAAAACGATGGAAGCTATAGTAAAGAACGCTATACAGCAATTTTGTGAAGAAAATAACATCTTGCAGGATTTTCAACATGGCTTCCGGAGAGGACGTTCCTGCCTCTCAAATCTGCTAGCTTGTCTGGAAATCTGGACCAGGGCTCTAGAAAAGGGTTTTGAGGTCGATGTCGTGTACATCGATTTCCGCAAAGCTTTTGATACTGTCCCACACCAACGTCTTCTTCACAAATTAAGCGACATCGGCATCCGGGGAGATCTTCTGAACTGGATTAGGGCGTTTCTGGTTGGTCGGAAACAACGTGTCTGTATCGGGGATGATATGTCAGAATGGGTGAATGTGACCAGTGGTGTGCCGCAAGGCTCAGTTCTGGGACCATTGCTCTTCATCCTTTACGTTAACGACAGCCTTCAGGAACTCGACTGCGGCAAAATAATGTTTGCAGACGACGTTAAGCTCTGGCAAGTCATTAAGGGTCCGAATGATCATAGATCCCTTCAAGATAATCTGCACCGACTGCAAGCGTGGTCGAAGAAATGGCTTCTAGATTTCAATGTGGAGAAGTGTGCCGTCCTTCATCTGCGTCCAACCAACTCTCATTCAAATGAGAATCTGAGGACTTATCACCTGAAAGATATAAGGCTCCCTGCAGAATCTTCACAAAAGGATCTCGGGGTTTGGATACAGAACAACCTGAAACCAACACTGCAGTGCCACAAGGCTGCAAAAAACGCCATGGGAGTGCTGCATGCAATAAAAAGGGCTTTCGTAAATTTTGACCAAGACCTTTTTGGGAGAGTTTACGGCACATTTGTTCGGCCCCACTTAGAATATGGCATACAAGCATGGCGGCCATGGCTGGTAAAGGACCAAGAATGCCTCGAACGGGTACAACGGCGTGCAACAAAGCTGGTAAACGGTCTAAAAAGCCATTCCTAAAAGACAGACTGAATTGCCTTAATTTATTCCCTCTGTGTTACAGGCAGCAAAGAGGTGATCTTATCCTCGTCTACAAGATAATACATGGTCTTGAGTATGGACTTAAATTTGAGGACATGTTTCAGTGGCACCTTTCACCCAATCTTCGTGGTCACTCGATGAAGTTACGGACAACAATGTCCAGGCTGAATCTCCGTTCTGAATTTTTCACGCAGAGGGTAGTGGAGAAATGGAACGATCTCCCTCAGTCAGTCGTGGAGGCTACATCCCTGCAACTCTTCAAGAAACGCTTGGATGATTATTTGTGTCCCTTGATTTCCCTCGACGGTCTGAATCTGAACTAATACCCCTGGTCCAGACAAATATTTTCTCTGAGACAATGCTACTCAAATGAACCAAGTACTGTTTTAATAGTGAACATTTTTTGTTCGTGTACAGTTATTCTAACGAGCTGACATGTAATCAATAGGGTTTTCAAAGGCTTTGCCTATTATCCTTACCAAATAAACTGAACTGAATAAACTGAAAAATCATGCAGAACTTCGGCTGTTCCGAGCAATTCACGCAGATGGCCCATCAGCTCCATAATGCTATGACGGCAGGGACCAATGGATTTGCCTTGCAGACATCCGCAGTGACCAGCGGAGTGAAGCAAGGCTGCCTGCTCAGTCACACCCTCGTCAGTCTTACGTTCTCTGCCATGCAAGTGAAGGCCTTCCGTCGTGAACGCCCCGGGACCGGCGTGGCCAACAGGATGGACGGCCACCTCATC